AAAGACACAATGTTTTACTCACGGTATCTAAAGCATGTTGTCAACATGAACAACATTAAAAAAACATGAGCAAGCTAGTCATAAAACTATAAAATTGCCATATCTTTATCATCTGGGTGCATTGACTTATTGTGTCCTGGTCTCGTATACTGTACGATACGACATGGATTCAACGATTCAATACTATTCATTCTGCCAATTTGAAAATGTGTGTAGAATTACGTTAGAATATTGAATTACGTTACAACACACATGTTGACGCCAACATATGCTGGCAACATCATTTATAGTACTATTTTTAAGGTATCACAATAGATACAAGAATCATCACCATCTGCCAAAGACAGATTTAGAATTGAAGTATCTTACCTTATCTACAATATCATCTACCAGTTTCAAGAAGACGTCTTTCACATTCAAGTTCTCTTTGGCACTGACTTCACAGAACCGACAGTTGTGCTCATAAGCAAACTATGAAGAAGTATTGAGAAATAACAATAAATTCGATGCCTTCATGTCTGAAACATCGAAACGAACAGCAAAATTGTTCCACGGCATTAGAGCCTGTATTTTACCCAATAACACATAGATGGCGCTCCATGCATGTCAGAGTAACGCCCAACGAGCAAACGTCTACACGAGCGGTGAGCGTGAAAATTACTGATGTAGGATTTTTCTCTCGTGTTGTTCACGAAATACAAAATGTACGTGTACGTGTGGAATACAAATTATCAGAGGCATGTCACATAAACCGATGTACTCTGGGTATCTTAAATGAAATATAAAGTTTTGTGAACATGCTATTTCTTACCTTCTCTCCCCTTTCTGTGCTTACTTGTCTTAGTTCTTCTTTGTCTGTTTTGTTGCCAATGACAATAACTTCTATATCAGGAGCAGCATGCTGGAGGGAGGAATATCAAAAGGAACATCGTTTGCGACAAATGAAGCGTGTTTCCAATACGACAAAATTATTAAAATACTACTTGAAATAACAGCAAAATCGTTAGGCGGCAACATACATCTTACACTTAAACAGGGATATATTTTCACATTCTGTGTCCTAATAATAGTATGGATGTTTTGTTTTCGGAGTGTTTGTCTGTTATATAGTTATTTAAATACAGCAGCGTCACAGGAGGTTATGGGGCAATGGTGTAGCCGCAGGCGCAGGGAGGTGGAATTGGAGATCATAATGGTGACAGTGACATATACACAGAATCAGTGTGGAATTCACAACGATGAATAAAATTCATCAACTATACGTGTACAAACTTACACGGAGGTGTGGCTATAACTTTCTTTCCGGCTATAACTGTGACTTACTTTGTCAATCATCATAAGCCACTTTGGCAAGTTTTCGAATGTTTCTTCATTGGTGATGTCATAGACGACCAGCACGCCCTTGGCGCCCCGGTAGTAGGCGGCTGAGATGGAGTTGAACCTCTCCTGACCCGCTGTGTCCCTGGTGTGGAGAAATCAAGACATCAGTGTCAGTACCAAACATTACATTCTGCTGACAGTCTGGCTGTTATTCATTAGATCTGTTACCATAAAGCCTCGGTAGCGCGTTCTACAGCATTGTCACTATAAGAATATATTCATCAGACATGCATTTATACATGCCACCCGTGTATTTGTACGTACGTATATGCAATGTTTTAGAAATCCTTAACGCTAGAAATTCTACCAATATTTGCACAAAAAACACATTCTCATCCCATATATATAGTCATTTGTAAGGTAGATAAATCTCACAGTATGATACTGTGAGATACTATGTTTGTTGTTATATAGAAATAGATGTCATATGCCACATTTAACAATGGTTGTGCCATAAAGTTTATTTAATACATACATGCACGTATAGATAAATAAGATAGGAATAAACTGTACTAAACATTTGGCTTAAAACTCCTGTGTTGTTCTTCATGGAAAGATATATGAATACTTGAGACACCTACCATATCTGTAGTCGTATCGTTTTTCCTTTCGTTTTGATAGTCTTGATCTTAAAATCCACCCCTGCAATAGAAAACATATAAATGATATCAATACTTGTTGCAATGTGTGAGTAGTGATACTGGTTGAATGGTACAGTAATTATCTATGCAGGATTGTTTATCCTTTCTCATCGCCTGAGGTCAGCAATTTCAGACATACTGTTTCCTCGTTACTCGTGAAACGGTCTTGAAACATGCCGGAAGCAAAACAACAGGAGCGACTTCAAAGACTGCCCATTTTGATAATCCAATTTTGTATTTTCTGAACCTTTATCACGTTACCTCCGTGAACGAAAGAACTCCGTTACTGAAGGTAAAATTTTAGATGGATTTGGGTCTGGCTTTGCGCTTCCAGATTATTTGTCGTAATACTAGTTTAAGAACCTCTAGATGACTGTGATGATAGCAAAGGTCAAGGGCGACTATGGGCCACCTAACAGCTTTCCTTGGCACTGCAGCAGAACTTGTGGGTTCCCAGTCAAAACAACATACGCTTATTAGCTCTGGACGATCTTCAAATATACTGATGAAAAACAACATATATTTGAATTGTAGGAGTTTGTGTGAGAATTGATGTTCCACCCGGCAGCCAGCCATCAGCAAACCCGGCCGGACCGTTGATTAAATGGCCCACCGGATTGACGACCGTTTGACTGTACAGTACACAAGTGGTTACCGTGCCAACATGGTGTCACGATTTATCAATCGGTCCCAGTTTACGGAGGTACATGTATGAAGTCTCCAATTTCTTGTTTCTTGTATTATTCTAATAGACTATGTGGACATGATTTAAAGGATGCCTGATTTGGAAAAATATGCTAAAAGAGTTTTGATGTCGGCTCTGCCTGACAACATCTTGCATTCCCATTTGTTGACTGAACGATTATTCACGACACAAGCCGTCTCCATCTTGCTTGAAATACGTCGGCTTGGCCTTCAATACTATCACTAAACTCGGGGTACCACTGGAGAGCTCTTTGATCTAATCAGTGAGGCGTAATGGCCAGAGAGCCTCTTGAAGAGCCCGGTAATTGTCTGGCTAAGCTCGATCATGGCGACACACGGATAAAAGATTACACGATCGTTTAGAAACCAGACGGGGATTTTGATACACGATTTCCTCTGGCGTATTCAAGCAAAATGAGAAATCATCCCCAACCGGAACGCACTGGGGACCGAAATGCCATCGGCGAAAACAGATATTGTCGGCAGGCCTGAGGACATTAGATTTCTTGAGATATTACTATAGTCTTATAGAAAAATTAATAGAATCGTTTTGATGCTACACATTACACCAAAACCGACAAAAACAAAAACATTAGTTCTGTAACGACCCTATAATTGATAACGAGATTGGGGCTTTGTGCCAATGAATAGTGAAAGCAGAATTTAATCAATGACATTAGCGGTTCAGTTGGGGTATGGCGCCAAATATATATCAGTAACACTCTGTGAGGGGTAATGGTATTGATGGATGGAAAACACCTTTCCTGGCACTGAAAAAAGGGCATGTCCAAATAAGGAATCCATTACAATATGGCCACGGGCTGGGAACACGACTGACTGGATACTATGGATGATTCACGGCAGCTTGGGAAGATGAAACAGGGAGATATCGAGGGCCGGGGCAACCGTTGTGATTCCATATTTTACACACAATATGCACGGTTAGCGCATGGAGATCCGCAATACGTGCAAACAGCGTGAAATTGCGTTTTCTTTCCAGTGCAGGTAGATGAAGTGTCGAGGTTTCTTATCTGGTTTGAAATAATGAACAATGCACTGACAAGAGTGATCGATGGCGCTCTGTTGAAGAAGATGGAACAGCCCTACAGAGATCTACGCTAGGAAATGTATTTATCAATTCTTAATAGATGCTGAATTGGTATCAAAAGGTTAATCTTTGATTAACCTTTGCACTGTATATATATATATCAATGACATCGGTCTCACAAAGGCACGACGTTTACGTTGAATCCTGCCGAACGTATGCATTTTTTATACCTTCAAACCTAGGTCATCTTGTAACCCGTTTCTTTCAGGATAGACAGCCAAGCGTATTGATTTTTAGCACTGCGGACTAGAGGAACTCGTCCCCAAGATTTGCCCTAATACTCGCATTACAGTGTCGTCATGGTATGAAAAACTGTAGGACCGCACTACTCTTGACATATTCGTGCAGCTTACGTGAACATAGGCGCACTGATGCTACTCAAAGTTGGTATCAGAACTTGAAATACGACAGTCACTACACTCAGGGTGATATGAGGCAGTATTGCAAGTAAGGAGCATTTCCAACTAGTCACGTAAAACCATTCAGGTCCTACGATCAGTAGACTTCATAAAAAAAAATTACTTTTTTTATTCAACACTGTTAGCCATGGGCCTATATGGTAAGTGTTTATATCATACATATAGTTGTCTTTCTATAGGTTTGTTTTGCAACTTAAAACCAGACAAGCATCTGTGAGCCAAAAAATCATGGCGTCGGTTCAAGCTATCAGCCATTATGGCGATGGCATTTTATGGGTATGGAAGTACACATGGTATCAGGTCACGATACAGCAGATTTAGTGTGGTGCTCTGCTCAGAGATACTGGTTTGATAATGGTAGAAAGTTGCTTGTCCTTTTCGCTACATTTTCTAGACAGAAATCATGTTACTGTGAAAGTTTAGACTCAAACAGTGCCACGGGACCAACTGTGCATATCGAGAGAAGACAAGACCTCTATTTGTTCTTCCCCTATCGCCCAATTGATGTGGTATGGTCAACTGGACAAATAGGGCAGTGGCGAATAATGACCATAAATCTACGCATTACGCAATTTCAAACATGTTGCTAATCTATAAATCTTCATTTTATCTCACCAAAGAAAACAAAAATAATTTTCTCCACATCTTCCAAGATAGTTGTTCTGACCTGGGTATATCCCTCTGGTGGCCAATGGTAGGAATCTAATTTGCATGACATATTCGAATTGGTGAACCGGTGGTCGTAATACTTTATTTGAGTGTTGAGTTACCTAAAGCTATCTTAAAATGTCATTGTCACAATGTTTGTGTTTATTGCTTTTTTCTGTGTGTGTAGTTGTTTTTCCCACCACAAATTCGCGTTGGTGAGGAAGTGCATGTAGTGATGACGTCACCGTGCGACTGTCACAGCGTCCTGCCCTACTAGTGGCGGAGATCAGATGGCGGTCTCAGGGACAGAATCTCTGCAACTTTCAAACGGCGCCTTGTGTAGAAGATAAACCAAGAAAATGTACATTTTGTATCTATACATGTAGATGTCATACGCCATCTGTGTCGCATGTCGGTAGCCAGGATTTTGTGGGGACGAACGAGTGCCGCGAGTTTTCTATAGGACCTATAGGCTCCGCGGGGCACTGGTCATCCGGAAAATTTATTCTACGCACTTGTTTATTCTTTTACAGTAGCCAAGTCAATGAGAAGGAAAGGGTGAGTTTCCAAATGTGCCAGGGGTCAAAGCGATTTAATACTACATCACAGATTGGCTGGGGCGGAGGGGCACAGTATGTGTAGTTCATAGTTCAAGGCCTAAAGTCTTTCTGCAAATCAACAAGAACAGAGTGGGATATTCGGACGAGAATGAAATAGAGCAGAAAACTACCAACTGGTCTAGTATCCTGATCAATAAATGAAAATATTGACAGTAATTTTAGGCCACAGGTCAGAGAGTTTGCAGTTGAGCAAAATAGCTGATCTGGTGCTTCAACAAATCCCTCGTATAATACCACTATATTTTACAGAACTATTGTTGACATTGTAGAAACTACTGGCCTAGCAATCCGCTGTCGGCTCAAGCCAAAATCAGGACGTCGACCAATGACAGCCTGTCTACAGAATGATTGAGAAGGATGATTTTGTGCCTGCAGCTTTCCCTTTGGCTTGACAATGCTTCGTGCATAGCAATGATGTGTTCACTGAGCCTCAAGTTTGGCTCACTGTAACTGTCTAACCCACTAAACCCCTCCCTATGACATCACTCCCGCTACAAGGCGTGTCATGGACGACACGGGATCACTTCATCCACAAATGGGGTTGGTAAACACACAGGCGAGGGGCCTGGCAGGGGAGGGAAGGCCAGACCTGTGGAGGGGCGAAAAGTTCGTCATTCAAAGCTTTCCCAAATTCCACGGTCAATACTACGTACGGCACATACATGATATTTTCTTAGAAACGTGCGTGTGTGTGTGTTTGGAACTCACCCACTGTAGATTTACTGGATATGCTGAATGTGTCGTCTGAAAATCTCTCCAATATGCATGTCTTGCCAACTCCTCGGTCCCCGATTAGTATCAGCTGGAACTTGTAGTCAAACGGTCTTTGTGGAAGCCTCCGGTTTCTCACAGGCACAGCCGGAGATGATCTGGAAGCACTGCCGCCTGACGAACTGTTCTGTTCCATATTCATTCAAGTAGCCCGTCAGCTTTAAATCACTTCCTTCTCATCGCACACAAATTTCAGGCCACCTTCAGTTTAGTGGCCTCATTTGCCGGAGCAGAGCGTTCGTCGGAAGAAAAAGGCAAGTTAAATATAGCCGGGGTCGCACGGTCGAATTTGGCTAACACAGCACGAGGGCTCCTGGATTTTCTAAAACCATGGCTGGCACGCTTACAGTTTCACACAACAGGGACGGTTCTGTGTACTGCTGGTCGGAAGCAGCCAGTCGCTTTCTTGGAACCTTTCAACGCGATGCGTCACCACGTTAAACACGTACATGAAACGGTCTATTTAAACACTACTTCCCACACTTTGCATTGTAGATGCATAATCTGCACATGGGATAAGATGGATGTTATCGTGGGCGCTGGAGTTGTTACACGCCCCACTACTGATTTCTAGCGTAGGATGTCATCTGTGTGCTGGCCATTACATCCACACACACACTCGTACACGAAGATTAAGACGCCTTTATAGACGAAAGCTGATTTTTTATCTCCCGACAGTTAATCGGATTAAGTTGACGCCTTACTGATCCTAACGCTCAAGGTCAGGCAATTCCCTAGCAGTAATTGTGCTTTTGCGAACGGCATCAAAAAACGACTACCTCTGTGTTATATAAACCAGTCAGACGAATAGGCTTGGAACGCTTGCTTGCGTTTATGGTGGATGTCGATCGCGATCACCTTGTACACCCCCCGCATACCGCAATTATCCACCGCAAGCCTGTCTCCATGGCAACGCTTTGAGGAAGCTGGTGAGCAGGTGCTCTCCGGTGGCATGGTGACGTCATACGCACAGGGAGCGTTGATTGGCTGGAGAAAGGGAAGGTACGAAAATAACGACTTGCTCGGGGAAACAATGCAAAATCTGGGTCATGTTGGTCTCCGTAAATAGCTACAAAAGCCATTTATTGATATACTTGAAATCTGTTTGTTGGATGTTGATTAATGTTACGTGATTTAGATTAGCTTATATACATTCCATAATATAATTTCTACACATCATAATACCTGAGATCAACGTTCATAAACAACGCCAGGGAGTCAGCGAGTTATGTCCTGCCTTATCGGGTCAGGTTCGGTAAAAGGGAAATACCAGAAAATCTGAGTTGCTTTGGAAAGACCATGCCCAGCTCAGGCCCTGGACCAGCAGATGGCACCTGCGCCACACGGCGATCAGAGAGGTAACTGCAAGTCACTGATCTGGCTAGATGAATGCAAGGAGGTTAAATACAAGTCCATGATGAATGTGACATTACCTGACCTGGGACGTTACACCTTTCCTTCAATGCCTTTCAGTAGTCAGATAATGATATGGCTTCTTATACGATTAAACATAAGTAATAATGGCATGCTGTTACTTACATGCACTACGTACCTAAAATAATTCAATTCGGATAATTTGCATGCATGATGATGATACAAATATGGTCATCTACAAGGGAGCTTCAAACATTGCAGTAAATGGGCCCTGTGGTACCCGTCATGTACATGAAATACCCATTATGCAATGTTTTATACTTGCTCACTTACAAACCTACCAATATCAGTATGATATTGGTATGCTTTATTATTTTATAAGGCAAGAGAAATGTGCAAAGTATTATGCAAACACAGGTTCACCAGTTTATATTTTATTTTGTTAAAAATTAAATACTTTCAGATGTCTGCTTCATCTAGCCTTTCTACTACAACAAAACAACAAGAAGTATAATTGCCCACCCCCATACCACAAGTAAGATTTTAACCTTCCCATCGTAAAACATTTAGCAATTTTTTTTAACCAGGACTTCTATAAAGCTGTCATACAAGCCAATACGTATAGCTCATACGTACAGTCCAACAGATGGAATTGTTAGATAACAGGAGTGCCTGGTACCTGTACCATGTATAAACATAGCAGCATAATACATAATGTGACTGAACAGTAGCAAAATTTTAAGGCTGTCATTTTTTTTCCATGATAGCATTTATAAGATATTATCACGCTTCTGCCCCTTTTTGTTCAATCCGGATCTACTAATATTACAATACATCGGTGTCTGTTAAACATAGAATATCATCTACAAATTGGCAAATTCAAATTCTGAAGTATACTGTTTCAGGCACACCTGAACCACAACCATTGGCTTATAAAACTCTATGGGAGACAGCTACGTCTTTAAAATTCCATGTAATTATTTCAAAATGATCCAAGAGATTCCCATGATATCATGGATGGTTTTCTTTGAGAAAAATGTGGAGTCATCACATTTGAAATGTTTCTCTTCAAATGGCAATAGAACCAATGAGGGAAACTGATAGCTATCTGTCCAACAATGTCTATGGGCACTATGGGTTTGTCTTCCTGTACGTTTGAGTTGTGACACTGTATCAAAGCAGGTAGCCTTCTCTGAGCACTCCTGTGTCTACACCTGTGGGGAAGTGCCTTGAGTATAAACTTAGATACAGAACACACATCTAATGTAACCTCCCTGTAGAGCAATGACACTTCTGTCAGCCAATCAGAACTTGGGCAGATAGACAGTTCTTGGTCATGTTTAAATTTTCACGGTAATTTACTTGCAGTATTATGAGTTCCAAATTTTTTGAGGGGGTAATGACAAATTTGAGGATTTCAAAGGGAGTACTGTGCTGCCACAGTTCTGTAGATGTCAGTTATTGAGGCAATGGCTCACTCATCACAACAAGCAGGCTCATAGTTCCAACTGCACATGTGCAGAATGATGCAGTGTAATGAGTCAAAGTTGTAGACCCCTGAGACAGAGAAACAAAACATGCCTGGATATGAATAAAGCATGGTCTAGACATGAAGTATTAAGTTAGGGCCTTCACCTTTGAGCTTGTGCATGCACAGTTGGAACCAAGAACCTGTTTGAGAAAACTTAATGTGACGTGATGTGACGCCCAACAGTTATGGTAAATGGTGCACTGATAGTATACAGTATAAAGCTTTTATTTCCTGTCTTGTAATGGCTGCTGGAGAATATGTTGTCATCCTACAAATACAGACCTGATACATACCGAACCATAGAACAGATCTCTCCACCCAATGCAAAATAAAGGTTGACTCTGCCTAGCTACACCACACTATGGATTTTGCAACTACGGGTAGAATAAATTTGGAAAGCAATTGTCTTCATAAACATGATTATACAAAATGTGATCAACTCTATAATGACACCTTATTTTTTTTTACATAAGAAACCGTTGCAAGGGACAAGCATTTGTATATATAACTGATGTTATGCCATTTTGGGGTTAGTAACAAACATCTATTTGTGTCTCCCTTTTCTTCATAACTTTTTCTTCATCACAAAATAGTACATAAACAGTTCCAAATGCCATCCTATGTTAAGCAATATTCCCCCTTTTCTGTTAACATTTCAAAGTTCTTGCAGTCCCTCACAAGCCCAATACATATTACATTAAAAAAAGAAATGCTACATATACATTTCAAACAGGGCAACCTACATTTTTCCAGACAATATTGCATGTATGGTGAACCAAGATATTGTTTTTTTACATGTGTACCTGTTTTACACATTTGAGTAGCACAATTTACACATTTAACTAGACACAACCCCCATAACCCAATGTGGTATGTTTTATAGTCGTATCATGGTGTCTACCCTAGCATTAGTGAACAAAGCTGTGCACAATCCTTTCAATATATTGTTAACCTGCTCCCAGCTAAGGGCTAGTACATTGACAAAATTTACATTAGCGACAGCAAAAAAAAACAGCTGGGAAAGGGTTAAAACTTTGTGAACATTCCTTGTCTTCGGACTAACATGGAAAGTTTACATGTTATATCTCGAGTAAGCTCTCCTCAGATCTCGGGTTACAGTAGGTGATTCAAGGCCTTTTCATGCACTTTTAAATTTCACAATTCTAGTAAACAATGGTTCCTTGTCCAGAAAGCTGCAGTTAATTTACAATGCAGTATTACCCTACCCAAACAGTATAAGCCGGTTCATAGTTTGACCTGCACATGTGCAGTGTGATGCACTGTGGATAATATGTCAAAGTTAAAGGTCCCTGAAACATAAACAAGTCTGGACATGGAATAAAGCATGTTCTAGACAGTTAAAAGGGTAGATGCCTTCAACTTTGCCTTGCACATGTGTAGTTCAAACCATGCATAGCCTTATTACTGTCAGTACAAAGGCATCAATCTCCAGTTGGAGTGCAAGTTTCACAGCCAGTCATTGCTACCCATAGCCTCACTGTCCATTGTCGGACACACAAATACCAATGCAAGACACATTCACATTGTCACCACACTGCGTTCTCTTACCCATATACATCTAACATTGAAAACCTGGTGACTAAATCTAGCTGATGGTCTACTCAAGATAGAAAATGCATAGCTGCTGATGACAAATTATCAGTATCTGTGATGTACATACTGAAGGATGTCATGAAATATGTTGAACTGCTTTGTAAGGGTATCATTGCTATTCTCATGTCTCCATCTAACAACCCCTTATAAAGATACATTACACCATCTTTTCAATGAGTATGATGACACAAAAAAGTACAACTTATTTTAATATATATCCAGTGACAGGACAAAATATCATTTGTAGAATTTGCTACAATATGTGGGTTCATGGTTCCAGCTGCGCAGGTACTACATGATGCATTGTGGGCAATATCTTAACGTTGAAGGACCCTCCCTTGTAACAGTTCTTGTCTAGACCATGCTTGATACCAGATCTGACGTGTTCTGGTTGAAAAAAATCTAAGGGTTTTTTACATATTACCCACCATGCATTATGGCATGCATGCGCTGCTGAAACCATGAACCAGCTTATACCTGTAGCAAAAACAAGTAATTGTCCTGTCATTTCAGATTCAACTACATAAAAGAACTTCTACTCGAGTCAAAATTGTTTTGAAACATGTCAGTTAACAAGGACAAAACATTACCATAACCCAACTGATATATCACATTCAAACTACTGTGGTACCATTGAGGGGTTCACAGGTGATTATTTATGTAGGCAATACATTGACCCTGGTGAGCTTGTAGACAAAAAAAATATGTCTGAGAAGAAGTAAATATTTCTTCTAAAAACTTTTATAATATACTAGTCAATAACAACTTCTACATGGCGTCATTTCCAAAGCGCTAACTTTTGTCCTAACCGCAAACTAGTGTACAGTATTGTTCACTTGTCTACATTCAACCAACATTTGCACATTCATTGAAGGCGACTCTTGTGTGTGTGTTGACGGATACACATGAAAAGCTGATCCTAGCTTTCTTAAAATTTCTAAGGATGTAAATACACAGGTTGCTTTCTTTTTCTTTTCTGAATCTTGCTATTTTCTTAGCCAAAATGCTTGTTGGATACCATTTCTTTAACAAATACACATACCAGTCTTGTTTTCATCTTGCAAAAATATATGGTAGCTTTTTAAAGTTGAACTACAATGAAGAAAACAATACTAAAAGTTAATTTGTGGAAGACTTATGTTTGCACTTGGAGAACTTAATTCCAAATGTTTGGACATCTAAATGCCATGGTCCATGGACTGATTCCTTTTCAGGAATCTTGATTGAATCATTCCACTTCATGATGATGATGAAAAAAACATTTTTTTGTTGTTTTTCATCAATGTGAGGCTAACCCTTCATGACAAAAACCACATTGATGAAGGGTAGACAGCATCACCACACACAACAAGTGCACCTGTTAGTCAGTGTTTCCCATGTTGGTTGAAGACATTATCTGTGATCTAACATTAGTGGAGGCTGTTAGGGGGAGGGGGAAGATTGATTTTTTCCTGGGTGACCACACGACAGCCTCATGTACTGCAGCACCTGGGTTTGAACCCTGACGACTGGTCCCTGCCCACCGCAACCGAACCAGCCTCAGGGCCGGAGTCTTTGCTTGGTGTCTGCAGATCACACAGAGACAATACATTTGTAAGTATTTCTTATTTATTTATTTACTTACTTTAATTTGTTTTATCGAAGTTTCAGCCAGCTGGATAGCCCCATTCCACCCCGTTGAACTTTTTTCAAGGGAGCCCAGACTCCAGAGAATACATAAGTGAGCACAAGTAACAAAGGGTACTAAGTACTGTACCCACTTACTACAAGACTTAATGAATACGGACAAGAATAAACTTATTATAGTTGGTTACAAAGACTGCAGCGTGCACAGTGATTTTACCTTCACACCCAAAGGTAGACATACATACAGGCATGTATCATTCTGCCGGCCTTTACTCAGCATATTTCCCAATTTTGTTCTGCTTACCTTTCTAAGTATGTCCTCTGCCAGAGTCATGAAGGCCTTCTCGATGTTGATATTTGCCTTGGCACTTGTCTCAAAGAACCGAATCCCGTGCTCTTTCGCAATCTGGACAGCAGGATAGTTTGGGTTCAGTGGAGGGAACGTGCACATTGCATGATTCTGTATCCCAACTCCATGTACATAGCAAAATTCTTGTTCAATAGAAACATGCTTACCTATCTTGCGGTCTTGGTATCCACACTGTTATGTACAAATGTATGGCTGTGTCCTAATACCTGTAAGTTGTTTAACTATAAAATCATCTAAGTACAAGTCCGAACCTGGGCATCTGGTGTAAAATGTACCTGTACCTGAACACAAGTGGACGCTATTTCAACAATTTTGAAAATTTAGTAAGTCAACAATGTACCACTAAAAAACATGTATAACTTACAGATGATTAGCCAAAATGGTTTATGAACAGGTACAGATTACTGTAGGTACATTTGTCCACCATCATGTAGCCTTAACTTGGAACATATAGCCTATCAAATACAAGTAGGTCTTCCTTTGGTACTTACGTTCTCACCCCTGTCGGTGCCCACAATTCTCTTGTCCTCCATGTCACACTTGTTCCCTATTAACATCCTCTCTACGTCTTCATTTGCATGCTGGAAGACAGAGACTCAAAATTATTTCAGAAACATGGAAAATGACTTGCTAGTGCCTTTCCTTATTGTTGCATGCAGCTTTTCTTTAAAATTGATATCATAGCCTCTTTTTACTTTATGAGTACTTCTTGATGATACAGATGTGTTATGGAATGAAATGTGACCAGTTTACTGAATTGAGTTTTACGTGAATAAAGGCTCAAAGAAACAAACAACTCAATCAATATCGTAATGCTCCTTATCAACAATCATACCAATTCTAAAGGCTTCATGCTGTTATAATTGACCATCAGGCCTGGTCGCCTGGATAATCACACCAATAACAACAGCATGTCTAGCTAAGCATGATAATGCTGTATCGTCCTACTACAGTACATTTAGCACCTGTACAGTCCCTACCTCATCAATGTTTCTGAGCCATTTGGAAATGTTGTCAAATGACTTGGGGTTGGTGATGTCGTAGACCAGCATGATGCCCATGGCGCCGCGGTAGTATGACGTTGTGATGGTGTGGAACCGCTCCTGGCCGGCTGTATCCCTGCAGGGAACATGGAGCCAGAAACCATAAGGAATACCGTCCAAGTTCAAGCTTACTTAGCAGTATGGACCACTTCTCAAACAAGAAATCAGAGGCTTCAGACTTCCACCAAGTTCCAGGAAGTATTTTGGGTTTTCTGGACCTTCAAATTCACCCTGTTTCGTGTGTCTGACTTTTGATCTCCTGTCATTCTGCCTGTCAATCTTACTCCACCCATATGCTGTTATTATACTTATAGTGTTAACCTGCTCTAAAGTCACCCCATTTCCTATGTCTGACCTTTTAACCTTAATTCCGCCTGTCAATCTTCAGCAACCACGTGTAGTCAACCTGCTCTGTCAGAACAAAGAGATACATCCTCCTACAGCTCAACCACCCAAAAAATACTTCTATACCTGGAAGTAATTAAATGTAAATAAAATTATGGAATTTCAGAACTGGCAGATTCAGATCAAGGGAAAAATGTTCTACAGACACAGCTTGAAAAGGGATCAAATATACATGTACATGATATGTGGGTACTTATAAAAAATCCATGATGTTCTTGTTTGTCTTTTGCCCTTTCTTCCCCAGAGATCAGTAAGAATGTGGTTACTGTGTTCATATGGTATGGACTCTACTATGGGACTTGACAGCAACACACATAATTCATTCTCCAAACCAGCCATGGTGAGATATTGCCCATTAAATGTGCTGGCAGTTCTTTGAAACCATCAACTTGCAGCTGTTCCAAAGAGTCTACACAGGGCATCACCAGTAGCAAATCTACAGGTAAGTTGGGGAGATCTGACAAATAAATCCAACATAACACAACAGGCATTTGAAAAACGCCCCAGGGATTTTCCTCACAAAATTCTTGAAATGCTTGCTCTGAGAGAAAAGTAAGATGCTTGGCCTTGTATCCCGGGGACTTTGCCAAAACTTCCACATACTAGTAGTAACTGCTAGACAAACTGTCAACATGTAGACAAAGCATGGCCCTACATGGGCAGACCAACATCTGTACTCATGTATAATTGATTTGTAAGACAAGCTGACACAACTGCCATTATGGTCAGAACTGGGTCATCAGGGGGTTGACCTCCAGGATGGCCATACTGTTTCTGCTGATGACATGACTGGGTATGGAGATCATCACTAATATCCTTCCCCAGGAGGCCATTTTGGCGTCTACCCAATGCTTAAAACTATGTGAAGGCGTGTCCAGTATATGCTTTTATGTTGATGCCAACATTGCCCTGAACTAAAAATTGTCTCTACAGAGCCTGAGGTATACAACAAATATTGCGTCAAGTACTGTGGGAATGAAGTCAGATTTTAGAATAACCTCACTTACCATATTTGAAGCTTGATTTTCTTCCCATGTAATTCAACTGTCTTGATTTTGAAATCAATACCTGGAGGAAATAAAAGATTAAGAGAAAATTGTGAATTTTCAACCACACAAAGATTTGTGTTTCACATTAAATACTGTAATATTTCTTAGAATGCAACACCAACTATTATTACATTGTGTGACTATCACACTGTTGGATGATTGAAATTACAATAACTAAAACAACTTGCTTAATTTAACTCATTCCAAAATGCCTTTTAAATGTACTTCATAATCACCACATTACAATAGTATAATATAATTCATAGGTAATTTGTCTAGTGGAGCTTCACTCAGTCACAGGTTGAACTGCAGCTGGACTCCCCAATAATAATAAGTGCAGCATGTATCATAATCTCATAATATGACATTTATGAACAGGACTTGCAGTGTCCTGCTTCCACCTACATGTTTATGTTTGAAGTAATGCTAATCTAACATCCATGGCAAGTGTGTTTGTTGTTAAACATTGCTGTAATGCAGAACTTTAGCCCACTCACAACATGTGTAAGTCACTCATTCATATCAGGGACAGGGATCTTTCATATCTACTATCACTTCTGATATATCTTAATAACCTATAAGTCTTCATACCTCAATCAACGTTTTGTTCAAATGCTGTTTTTCTTTTTGTTGATTATGGCACACATTATCTATTGTCTTACTGTCTTACTGGCTTCAATTTGAATTTCTCTATTCTTATAATTTTGAAAAATACCTGACTGACTACATTCGTATTTACTGCTTACAGTAGTGACCCAGAAAATATTAAAATCTATATGAAAAATAACTGAATCCATAACATCCGTGTAACTGCTTGTAAGTGAGGCACCTGTGCCCTGTTTTTTTTTTATGATACCACTGTTGTTCTGGGTACGGTAATACTAATAGAAAGGAATTCAACCTGTGGTGAATGTATGTATGAGGGAAATAGGGCGCAGGCCTGGCCTTACAGTATACATGCAGAAAGAATGTTAAGTCGAAGTGATGATTCATCCTCAAAGGCGGGTAGACATGTAATGGTAGACTTATTACCCTAAAACATGCTAGGTTGTAACTTGTCCTGTAACTTGTAAATGGTAGAAAGAAATTATGTCACAAAATGATGCAGGATACCAGTACAGTTGACTGTTGAGTGATAGTCTGGAATCCAGTTGTTACGAATGTTAGCTTCCACTGGTTACTACCCTGAATCCGGATATGAACCATTGGAAGTGGGCTGAACAAGACTGGATTCCAGGCTATCCTAAGTGATCTTAGAACAAATCCTTCTATTCAGGGTTTTTTTTTTTTTTTGACAAAGGATCCTCAAAAACCCCAGGCCTGCAAGAAGGAACCTATGCAATTTCAATCACTTCAACAGCTGTTACTTGACAACTTGACACTGAAAACACACATTCATGCTGTAACTTGAATGATATCAACAGTTAGAGTACCCTGGAGGCAAGTTTTAAATTTGTGTCCATAATTATAAACTGTAGGTACTGGAGAAGGTGGCCAATGTTTGCTAAGGAGTCTGGGGATTATTGAAGATGCTTTCTTTTTATACTACCAAACAAAATACAAGACAATGATAACAAAAGGAATACAAACAGTCAAACTGATTATCTAATCTGACTGAGACAAAAGCAAATAGAAACAGGTATCAGGTTATTACAATGTAGGTGCAGATGGTTGAGATAGACATGATAGGATGACACCATGGGCACCTTCCACTTGCTAATTGAGTTACCTGGTAAATACTAGCAATGACACTTGACAGTTTCAAGTTCAAACAAATCAGAGACAAAAGAACATGTTCAACATGAAAAACAAATGTATATACTTCCAATGTGAAAATAAATAATAATAAAATTAAAAACTAAATAATTGAAAATGAAATATGTTGTACAGATTACTAATGCAAGTAGTACTGGTGGTAGATTGAATCATTCCAGTGACTACTCTCTAGTTTGTAAGAGGTACTAGTAACTCAACTAGTCATTCTTATAAATTATACAGCTTCTTTTTATCTCATCTGTGTCATGAAAACGTGATCCCAAATTCAATAGAATGAAATGCACAGAGGAAAACAGTATTTGGACTCTTACTCATCAGAAGACTTCCTTGTTACTAGTAATTAAATTAATAGTCATCTCTGTATAAATGTAGTTGTAACTTGGATGCAATGACAGATATAATTTTTTGTGGCAGCCTTACATTTTCAAGTTACCAGTACGGCAATGGTTGACAGAATAGAAAAGCATTCCTTATCCAAGCTGTCCTAATTTACAGATGACACCAAATCCTTGTACGAATTTTTGCCATGACTCAGGGGTGACATGGTGGCACTTCCCTAGGGACGTGCCTGTGTGGACTGTGGAAGACTGTTTTGGCACTACAGTGTGGGTGTGACCCTTTTCTATCTCCCAGTCTAGAATTTCCCGTCATCTGCACATGAAAGATCAGGTCTTCTGCGTGGGCGGTAAGCCCCTGATGTACAGGCACGGCGTTGGAATTTCCTTTCAACAGACAAAGAAATGACGACGAGTTGCCCCAGGACAAAGTTTCAATTCCCCAGATGAATATTCAACTCTGCCAAAAAATCCCGGACGACATATCTGTTACAACCAAAACTTTTATGGCCTGACCCCTTGTTGTTGTTGGTATCTAGACTTATGCTACGTACTAGATGATGCTGGCAGCTGAAGTAGAAAGATAACATGTGGACTCGTGATAAGCTAAGGGTTACATATTTTGACATAAACTCGTAAGTTCTCCGTTAGCTGTGAAATTTTAGGATTGAAAACCCTGTGACC